AATAAACTGTGTTTGAGTAGAATAGTAATATTCACTGTCCCCGTTATTTGTTCATTTATTCATTTATTTTATTTCAAGTAGTGAGAGGGCAAGTAGGATGGTGGGTAGAGTAATGAGAGGTGAAGGTGGCCACCAGTGACCTCACATTACCTACCTACCGCTCACCTCTCCTGTCATCTCCTACCTCCACCGCACATCACCTACCTCTGCTAATCATCTCTCCTACCACCTCGCCTGCCTACTCCCTTACTCCCATATTCCCTGATTATGCTTACGTTCCAATACCCCCCTACATGACATGGTGTCTAAGCGGTGGTGGTTCTTCTTATTTTTATAGTAGGAACCAGTCCCATGTGCCTTATTTTTGACTGCTCGGTTAAATTTATATTATGTTACCATTTTTTTTTTCTTGTGTGTGTAAAGCTAAAGTAAATATCTGTATGATATTATAATCCTAGTGACCTTAACTGACCTTTGTTTTAGATGGTGGGTCTGAATAATTGTTTGGGTGTAATATTATATTTGGTGGAGTTGGTTGATGGTTTGAGATAAATGGTGGAGAATATCAGTATTTGGGTGAGACTTTTGGGGGAAGCAATTACTGGCCGAAATTGAATATTTACAGAGGAACGAGAAGTCACCCAGCCCACCTTGGAAGACTAGCCCACAACTGTCACCCACTGAAGAGATGCCTATGATTATTATCCACCTGATGTGCCCAGTTGCTGTATTGCTGCCCTGGTCTGTCATCTATTGTAGTGGGTGTCTGTCTGTGTCACTCAGCCTCTGTGACCATCACCAGCGGACCGCCAGTTACCCGCAGTTGCCAGGGATGGGTGACCGCACCTGCTGTTGATGACCTGAAGTGACCTCACCTCACCTCGAGCAACTGACAATAGCCTGCCACTGCTGATGTCGGCTGCTGTGATGCTGTCTGCAATGCTGTAGCCGTGCTGTGATGCCGAGATGCTGTAACTGTGCTGCGATGCTGTAGCAGTGCTGCTATGCTGCAGCCATGCTGCAATGCTGTGGCCATGCAGAGATGCTGTAGCCGTGCTGCGATGCTGTGGCCGTGCTGTGATGTTGGGACCGTGCTGTGATGCCGTAGCAATGCTGCGGCTGTGCTGTGATGCTGAGATACTGGGACCGTGCTGCAATGCTGTGGCCGTGCTGTGATGCTGCCTAGCTCAAGAGGAGACGATGGCGGTGATGCTGCCTAGCTCAAGAGGAGACGATGGCGGTGATGCTGCCTAGCTCAAGAGGAGACGATGGCGGTGATGCTGCAGTGGTGTATGGGGGATTCTGGCTGGTGTGCCAGCATAAGAGTCTGCTATGAAGGAGCTGCCATCCTCAGAGATGTGGAAGGGCGTGAGCCGCAGAGATGGACTCCAGCTGCTAGGACCAGCCTGCTATCAAGGGTGGTATGGAGGTGTATTCTGCCTTGCTGGTCAACCTGTACGACCGGTATGCGGGGATGTCCTGCCAGCCAAGAGAGACAGTTAAGAGTGTGAGATGTCCCCAGCCTACTTTGACTTGCCAGAAGTGTTAGTGTTACCTGTGTGAAATAAGGTGACCCTGAATACGGTCCAGTGAATATGGGCGCCTTGTTTTATGAGGCCAGTGAATCCTAGTAATGGCATAGGATAATGGAGGGTCTTAGCTGCGATGCCTGCCCTGTCTCAATTTTCAGATGTTGTATTGTGCATGTGAAGTGTGCTGAAAATGCGACCTTGGTGGTCGTGAAGTGGTCCAGTTGCAGTTACTTGAAAGAATGCAACCCGTTGGAGCAGTTTTCCACGCCAAAGAAGCCTAGAGAGGTTTGGTCCAATGGATAACATGCGAGGGTGACTAGCACTGGCTAGTGAATTTCTAGTAGAAGTAGGGAAGGCACTGGAGCCCGATATTTAGGTATAAGGAGAAATGACAGGTAAGGAGGCTTTGCACCAGAGAGCAACTATTATGCTGGTCAACTGCAAGGTGTACTGATTATGCTGCCTTGTGGGAGTTGAGAAGGCTGAGGGAAATATATGTAGTGGAATAATTTTGTATTATGTATAATTTTGTCTTTGTATTGTAATAGATTTAAAGGGTTAGGATTAAAAGTCTAATAACTTAGGACAAATTGTCCTAGTTCTCAGATATTTTAAATTGGGGAGAAAGGGGGATGTGATGTAGTTCAGCTGGGTTTGTGAGGTCTCTGGGGAGACCTAATTTAACCAATTATATGGTCACCTTGCCTTGGCAAATGTCTGTCAGAGCCACGCCTTTTCGGCTTAAGACTGAGGTCTTTTGTTCTGGACGGCGTCAGATCAACACCACGTGTGCACACCTCATTGTGGAGGGTGCTTGGACCACCTTATAAGCCCAAGGAAGAGCATGATCGGGAGATTCGTGCAGAGCTCTGGCCTGGGTGGAGAGCTCTGAGCAGAGAGATTTCGAGCGGAGCTGCTGCTGGGGTGCAGGGCTCGGGAGAAGGCTGCTGATGTCTCTGGAGGAGACTGTTGGAGGCATTGGGCAGAGTACTGGCTTGGCCAGTACTCGTGCTGTGTAGGTCTTGGGACCTGTGGCTTAGTTCCTGTGATGAACTGTCCTCTGAACCATATTGTAAGTTATATTCATTTTCGTCAAGTTGATTGTATTCCCTGTCTCACTGCTTATGTGTACCACCCCATTTATCTAAACCACAATAATGTTCTCCTGCTCCCAAATATATTATTGTACAAGGACTTAATAATAAACTTTGTTTGAGTAGAATAGTAATATTCACTGTCCCCGTTATTTACTCATTCATTATTTTATTTCAAGTAGTGAGAGGGTGAGTAGTGTGGTGGGTAGAGTAATGAGAGGTGAAGTTGTAGTCACCAGTGACCTCACATTACTGACCTCCGCTAATCATCTCTCCTACCTACCTCCGCCGCGCATCACCTACCTCCGCTAATCATACCTCTCCTACCACCGCGACTGCCTATCCCCTGCCTATACATACTCCCTTACTCCATATTCCCCGATTATGCTTACGTTCCAATACCCCCCTACATGACAGCTATTGGTCTATAGTTCTTAGCTAATGCTTTGCTACCACCTTTATGGAGTGGGGCTATATCCGTTGTTTTAAGCGACTGTGGAATTTCACCCATGTCCATTCTCCTCCTCCATAGTGTACTTAGGGCATGCGAGAGGGGTTTCTTGCAGTTCTTAATGAAAACAGAGTTCCATGAGTCTGGGCCCCGGGCTGAGTGCATGGGAATGTTGTCAATGGCTTTTTCGAAATCTATCGGAGTTAGGGTAATGTCGGAAATCTGGCATACATTTATGGAGTTTTGAGGCTCATTCATGAAGAAATCATTTGGGTCGTCGATCCTCAGACTGATTAGTGGTTCACTAAACACAGAGCCATACTGGGATTTCAATATTTCACTCATTTCCTTGTTGTCATCTGTGTAAGTCCCATCCTGTCTGAGTAAGGGCCTGATACTAGATGTGGTATTTGCTTTGTTTATGGCACATGAAAAGAAATATTTTGAATTTCTTTCAATTTCATTAATAGCTTTAAGCTCCTCCTGTCTCTCCTGGTTTCTGTAAGAGTCATTTAACTTAAGTTCGATAGTTTCCACTTCCCTGGTCAGCGCCTCCTTTCGTGTATCAGATATTCTAGCACTCCTGAGGAGCTCAGTGACTCTTCGTCGTCTTCTGTAGAGGGAGCGTCTTTCTCTCTCCAGTTTACTCCTGCTCTTCTTCTTTCTTAGGGGAATATGCCTAGAACATGCTTCAGCTGCCAGGAAGTTAATCCTTTCAAGGCACTGGTTTGGATCCATGTCATTTAAGATATCTTCCCAACATGTTTCGTTTAGGACATGGTTTACCTGGTCCCAGTTGATGTTCTTGTTGTTGAAGTTGTATTTTGTGAAGACACCTTCACAGGTACATGCATTCTGCTGATCAGGACCCCTATGCATGTACGTCTGGACTTCGATTAGGTTGTGATCGGAATTAGTTGTTTTTGATATTCTTATGTCTCTTATCAGGTCCTCATTATTTGTGAAGATAAGGTCAAGTGTGTTTTCTAGTCTTGTTGGCTCCACTATCTGCTGGCTTAAGGTGTGTTTTTCGCAGAGACTTAGTAGCTCATGTGTGTGTGACCTTTCATCTGCTCTACCTCCGGGGATTGTTTCAGCTATAACATTATTTGCTACATTCTTCCATTTTGTATGCCTTAGGTTGAAATCACCAAGCAGTAAGATGTTTGGGGATGGAGCTGGAAGGTTTTCCAGACAGTAATCAATTTTCAGTAGCTGTTCCTTGAACTGTTAGGAGGTTGCATCTGGTGGCTTATATACAACCACAATGACTAGGTTTTGGTTCTCGATCTATACTGATAGAACTTCAACTACCTCATTTGTAGTGTTCAGCAACTCCGTGCAGATGAGGGACTCTTTGACATACAGGGCAACCCCCCCTTTGTTGCCTGTTCATTCTGTCGCATCTAAAAAGGTTGTAACCACTTATCCATATTTCACTGTCAAAGTGATCTTTTGTGTGAGTCTCTGTGAAGGCTGCAAACATTGCATTAGACTCCTCTAGAAGTCCACTGATAAAAGGTATTTCGTTGTTGGTGGATGGCTTAAGGCCCTGTATATTAGCAATTATGAACGAGGTTGTATTCTGTGTTTGTTGGGGGGATTTTGTTATTGGCATTAGTAGTTGTAATTAAAATCACTGAGCACCCAGATGGGTCTAGTGTCTTGTAAATCATACAACTCAACTCTTAACAGTTTGGAGGGATATGTTGTGTATCTTTATATGTGTATGCTTCTAAACTGTTGTATTCTGAGCACCTCTGCAAAAACAGTGATAATGTGCGAGTGTGGTGAAAGTGTTGAATGATGATGAAAGTATTTTCTTTTTGGGGATTTTCTTTCTTTTTTGGGTCACCCTGCCTCGGTGGGAGACGGCCGACTTGTTGAAAAAAAAAAAAAAAAAACTCTTAACACTAAACTTACTTGCAAAGAATTACAGAAACCAATAATATATGTTGCTGCTGCAATAGAGTTTGCTACCGTGAACATTAGTCCAATAGAGCCACCAAACTCTGGTCCAAGTGACCGAGATATCATGTAGTACACACCACCTGTAAAGAACAAGAAAATTTATTAAAGGACACTAAGTACTCATTCATTACTTTTCCTAATTAAAGAATACAAAATATATCTGAAGCACTTTATAATTACTACCATATGTAATATGAAAATATATAATAGTACTCACCTATAAATTACAAAGTTTCAAAGTGTCATGGGTCTGTTTCTCATTACTGAGTCACTTTGCACTACACTTTTCATATACATCAAATTTATTTAATACCTTAAAGGTATGAAAGACTATTATAGTTTCCATTTCCTAAGGAAAAACAGACTTAAGTGCTTAGAGTCTTTCTTCAAAGAGTGTTTCTTAATGAAGATACAAACTTGGATGTCATTCTCTATGTCCTCTCCAGTTTATTATATTTTATGCAAATTTGGGACTAACACTGAATGGCATTCAAAATGAGGTCATATAAATGTATTATAGTTATAATAATGTTTAAAGTGCTTAATACTCAAAATTACTAGATATTAAACTTGGCACTTTTGGCAATTTGCACATAGCTAGACATTGTTTAGAATACTAATGATCACTGTAAATTCTTACTACATGATTCCTTTATTTTGTTTGCCTTATGGGTTTTCTAAAATTTTATATTACTTATTATATACAAAATGTATGACTTTGTAAATGGTCCAAGTCAGATTGAAATGTCGTTGTAAGCTCCTCTCTCATGTGCGGGTTATTTATGTAATGTTCCACTGTACTGCGCTTCTTTTTTATTTACAAAATGTACTACTTTGTGCATGTCACTGCCTATCCAGGTTCTTGTTAATAATCACAGTCAGTCTAGAATGCAGGTTTTTTCAATATTGTCATCTAAGAATTTTGAGACTGCAGACGATAATCCCATTTCAGGATCATTTCCATAAATTGTGAATAAATATTGGGCAGAAGATCAATTATTAAAGAACTCTGCTCATTGCTTCTAGCCATTCAGATATATAGCAAAGGAGTTCCAAAGACTAACACCTTTTAACCAAGGAGGCTGCGGGGTGGGGTTCAAGAACAACTCGGTGATTCCTGGATGAAATAAAGGCAGCCCAACAGACTCATCAAGGAATGAACAGGGGTGGACAAGGAAAAGAAATCCAATGAAGAGATGTGAAGAAAGAGTAAGGGAAAGGAACAGTGCATCCACAGAACTTTATGTAATTTTATTCTCCCCTATCCTGCATGTAGATTTTATTCTGGTATTTAAAGGAGAGAAAAATATTTAAGAAATACCTAAATTCATACAAGTGCCTGTAGGATGCAATGTTATAAAAAAAAAAGTAGCAGTTACTGGTATAACATTATATTATTTAAGAGGCAGTACCCTTTGGGTAAGCAATTTTTACTTAAACTAAGAGTGGCACATTATTTTATAGCTCCTTATTATAGTGATTTAAAAAAAATATATATGCTTCAAAGCTAACCTGAGAAGTTGTAATGCAAAAATTTTTCACAATTTAGTACATGAGATTTAGAAAAACATTAATTATTAAAATACTGCAAAAAAAAAAAAAGTATTTTTTACGCATAGTGTAAATGACATACCAGCTTGTATTCGACCGTTGGTGGCCACAGCTGACATAGAGAGGGTGGTTATGATGGTCACAATGTTGGCCATTATTACGATAATAATTGATGACACTGTAACAGAAAAATTACTATTATTCTTAAGCAGTAGTAGTAGTAGTTGCAATATTTACAGAACACCATGACCATGTAGATCACTCAGTGCTCTTAGGAATAAAAAAAATATATAGTACAGCACATCCACAGTGAAAACAAGGATAAATTAAACTTTAAAAGCTATCATCACGAATGAAACATTTAACACGGGCTTGAATCCTGGAAATGGGAAGTACAATGCCTGCACTTTAAAGGAGGGGTTTAGGATTTTGGCAGTTTGGAGGAGCATCTAAACTGTCATATCTGAGCACCTCTGCAAAGACAGTGATTATGTATGAGTGATGGTGAAAGCGTTCAATGATGATAAAAGTTTTTTCTTTCTTTTTGGGTCACCCTGCCTTGATGGGAAATGGCCAACGTGTTACAAACAAATACAGTGGTCCCTCAATAATCGTCTGGCCTGAAAGTCGTTTATTTCAGAAATAGTCCTGTTATTTCGTCTAAACATTGGTTCGCAAATGGTCCATTAACTCGCTAATCGTCTTTCGTCCTGGACGCGTACTCACAGCTCTGAGCCGTTCCCAGCCAGTGTGCCATTGTTTACAAGTGAGCGACGGTCCCCTCACGTGTTCATACGAAATATTTCATAATTATTCCATTCATTCTAGTGCTTGCAAGTGCTAAATAAGCTACCATGGCTCCAAAGAAAGCTCCTAGTGCCAAGCCTTTGGTAAAGAAGGTGAGAAATACGATTGAATTTAAGAAAAACATCATTGAACAATATGAAAGTGGCATACATGTGGGCGAACTGGCCAGGCTGTATAACAAATCTCGTACAACCATATCTTCCATCATAGCCAAGAAAAAGGAAATCAAGGAAGCTGTTGTTGCAAAGGGGGTAAATATGCTGACAAAAATGAGATCACTAGTACTCGAAGATGTTGAGAAGTCATTATTGGTGTGGATAAACAATTAGCAGGAGATAGTCTTATGACGTCGCTTATTTGTGAAGTTGCATGACGATTTGGTAAAGAAATTGCCTGCAACTAGTGGTGATGTGAGTGAATTTAAGGCCAGCAAAGGTTGAAGAGTTTGAGGCGGCCCCTGATGAGCTTATGTCAGTTGTGAACTCTACTGTCGCACTGGGGAGTTCCATGGGGCTCGATGTGAGTTTGGAGGATGTGGAAGAGTTGGTGGAGGACCACAACGAAGAGCTAACCACTGAGGAGCTGCAAGAGCTTCAGCAGGAAGAGCAACAGATCGCAGCTCAGAATCTTGCTGCAGAGGAGGAGGAAGAGAGATGGAAGAAGGTGCGTTCTTCAGAAATTAAGGAGATTTTTGAAATGTGGGGTAGGATGGAAAGATTTATGGAGAAACATCACCCTGAGAAGGATGTTGCAACCATATCGGCAACTTGTACAGTGACAGAGTCTTGGCCCATTTTAGGGAAGTTTTAAAGAGATGCCAGAAACAGAGCTCTCTGGACAGTTTTTTTGTGAGACAGGACTCCAGTGACTCTCAAGCTGGTCCTAGTGGCATTAAGAAACAGAGAAGAGAAGTAACCCCAGAAAAGCACTTGGTACCTGAGGTGTTGATGGAAGGGGATTCCCCTTCCAAACAGTAATTCAATGTCTCTCCTCCTCCAGTCTTCCATACACTAAGAAGAATCGCCAATAAAGGTAAGTGTTATGCTGCTAATGTTTCATTCATCATGTGCCATTGTATTGTTTATGTACTACATCTATATTTCATGTAAAAAAAATTTTTGTTTTAATACTTCTGGGTGTCAGGAACGGATTAATTGTATTTACATTATTTCTTATGGGGAAAATTGATTTGAAAATCGTCTATTTCGATAATAGCCCCACTTCCAGGAACGGATTATGGACGATAATTGAGGGATCACTGTACTATCATAAATTAAAGTAACCAGTATCAGTTAAAAAACAAAGTATTAATGTCAAAAGACTCCCCTAAAGGTTCTCCAGAGATTCTTACATGCACCAGAGTAATTACAAAAACCATGTCAAAGGCAAATAGGCGCAAGTCATGTGCAGACTGTTAAAATGTGTTTCACAGTCAGCTGCATGCCTGAAGCTACCCACAGGTAGTCAGGGAGGGGGAAGGAGAGGGTAGAGAGCAAACAGGTGGCTATGGGTGAGATGTGTGTGCCTGATCCTCAATCAGCAGAGATTCACTTCGTAGTGATGATTTCTGTTGGAGAAGGATGTCCAAACACCCTCATCCTGCTGAACCTCATATAACTTGCTACTAGTCGGTAGCACCCACCAGGAACATATCTGTGGTACAGCTCATGAAGTTACTGTATGGCAAAGCCTACTACAGTATAAAATTGGCTCGCAACAGCAACCTCTGCCTCGGCATTACACGTTCGTTTATAATATAATAATAATACTTTATTTTGATATGATACATAGTTGTACAAAGGAATGTAACAGTTGAGTGTACATTCCAAAAACTGTACAAATAGTGAAGTTTAAATGAAATAATACAATGGTAGGCACAAAAGAAAGCCACTAATTATGCAATGCATATTGGGCAACTAGTCATAAGGCTTGTGTGTTACTTAGGAAGTAGACATAGTTAAGAGTTACTATATGAGCTACCAGAGCACTAAAATTCAACCAAAATTTTAAACGTTAGAGGTATTACATACCATTTACAGTAGGGCCCCACTTTACAGTGCTTTGCTTTATGGCAATTTGCTAATATGGACCTTTCAAATTATGACCAAAAATTTGTTTAAATGGCTGATTCACTATTACAGCATCCATGCGCTACTCTATTTACATCCTTTATGACTTCCATGTCCATCAATCATGCCTGCAAACCTTCCAACAATTGAAGTGTTTTAAAGTTATTGTGTATTTTATACTATATACTCTGATAATTGTACATATGTGTACCTGTACCTAAATGAACTTACACACTGTGCTGGCATGCACACATTTAAATCACTAAGTGTGTCTCTCATGAAGCCACCATAATAACAATAATAATAATAATAATCACTCTGGGGCACTTTAAATGTAATATATTACATTAATATAGGCATTTTCATTAATCCATTTAAGACATTTTTCAAAATTATATAATAAATACGCTACATGTCATATACACAAAATAGTATATACAATCACCGTAAGACAAACAACTGCGAGGTGGTAACTGGACAGGCTACCACACTTGACTTCCTACAATAAATACCACTCACCTCTCACCCTACATTAAGACAACAAATATTTTAAGGTAAGTAATGAGTGTAATGTATGTGCATTTTACTTGTTTATTATTTTTTATCCTTAGATCTATTGCTAACTTAATAGTATATGATACTGTTAAGATGTTATCAGGCATTTATATGCATTTTTTTTTTCAGCAAGTTGGCCATCTCCCACCAAGGCAGAGTAACCCAAAAAGAAAGAAAATCCCCAAAAAGAAAATACTTTCATTATCATTCAACACTTTCACCTCACTCACATACTATAATCAGTCTTTGCAGAGGCACCCAGATACAACAGTTTACAAGCATATATTAAGATATATAACATACCCTTCCAAACTGCCAATATCCCAAACCCCTCCTTTAAAGTGCAGGCATTGTATTTCCTATTTCCAGAACTCAAGTCTGGCTATATAAAAATAACCAGTTTCCCCGAATCCCTTCACTAAATACTACCCTGCTCACACTCCAACAGCTCGTCAGGTCCCAAAAATCATTCATCTCCATTCACTCCTATCTAACATGTTCACACACACCTCCTTTAACCCCTCCCTCCAACCTTTTCGAGAACAACCCCTACACCACCTTCCTTCCCCTACAGATTTATACACTCTCCAAGTCATTCTACTTTGATCCATTCTCTCTAAATGACCAAACCACCTCAACAACCCTTCTTCAGCCCTCTTACTAATACTTTTAGTAACTCCACTCCTCCTCCTAATTTCCGCACTCCGAATTCTCTGCATAATATTTACACCACACATTGCCCTAAGACAGGGCATCTCCACTGCCTCCAGCCGCCTCCTCACTGCAGCATTTGCAACCCAAGCTTCACACCCATGAGTGTTGGTACCATTATACTTTCGTACATTCCCTTCTTTGCCTGCATGGATAACGTTGTCTCCACAGATACCTCAATGCACCACTCACCTTTTTTCCTTCATCAATTCTATGGTTAACCTCATCCTTCATAAACCCATCTGCTGACAAGTCAACTCCCAAATATCTGAGAACATTCACTTCTTCCATACTCTCTCCAATGTGATATCCAGTTTTTCATTATCTAAATTATTTGATACCCTCATCACCTTACTCTTATCTATGCTCAATTTCAACTTTCTACCTTTACACACCCTCCCAGACTTGTCCACTAACCTTTGCAACTTTTCTTTAGAATTTCCCATAAGCACAGTATCATCAGCAAAAAGTAACTGTGTCAACTCCCATTTTGTATTTGATTCCCATAATTTAATCCCATCCCCTCTCCCCAACACCCTACCATTTATAAATGAAAAAAAAAGTGATCCACTTTACAGTGGAAGCCTGGAATCTAACCTGCCGTATAAGTGGTGCTCTACTGTACTTTCAGTTTCTCCTAGTGTTAACTTAGGAAGTTGGCATTATGGTTGAGGATTAACAGTATACATGTAATTACTGTGTTTTGGATAGTTAAGAGATTGATGAAAAAAAATCAAAGTACTTGATCGTTTGAAAATTTTGGCACAAATTTAAAATTTGAGCTGTCAACAGGAAAATTCAGAAAGTAGGTCAACACGTTGGTGTTAATTTAATGGAATCATTAGCCCGGAAATTAATTGAAGTGAGCAAAAAAACTGTTTTATAGTATGTCTTAGCTGTCCATGTTATAATACTCTCGAAATTGCAGTCTTAACTCATAGCTATCCATGTTATAATGCTCTGCCTGGTGCAGTCTTAACCAATTATAATCCACAGTAAAACATTAACTTATTTTCAATATTTTTTATAATTTAAGTGTTTATTACTGTGTTAAGTGATGTTCTTTTTTTATTTATAAAGACAGTAAATGTATATTTGAGTATCTGAGGAAATGATGGCATGGTTCATCATTACATGTGCAACAACTGTTCTCATAATTCACATTCCTCTCCTAAAACATTTAGCGTAAATAAGATAGTGCACTATAAATAAATTAATACGAACATAAAAACAAAATAAGAGTGAGAATTTATAAAATTAATGTAGCAATATTATAATTCCTTTAAATTTTGAAACACAAAATATACTAGCATCACTTTCTATTTTTTGGATACTGTATATACAAAAATGCAAGCGAAAGTAACTTACACACTCCAGCTTGCCCAACCATCCATGACACTCTTAGAAAGAGCATCACACCCCAGATGTTGAGAAGACATCGCATCTGTTGGTGATTAGGGAAATTATATACTATATACACTGAGCTATATTGAAGAGCTCTGTCATATACCATATTAACTTACATTTTTGAGCAATAATGAGACATGACCTATTACAGATTTAAAAAAAAAATAAGTAAAACTTACATAAACACCTTCGAGCCATCCAAACTTTATTACTTTTCCTCTGAGGTTGGAGGGTCCGGTCTCGAGGTCAGCACCAGGGTGTCGCTGATGGGAAGAGCAACATATTAAAGATAAGATTTTGTTGGGATTTTTAACCCTGGAGTGTCAGCCACCCAGGATAACCCAAGAAAGTCAGTGCGTCATCGAGGACTGTCTTATTTTCATTGTGTGGGCCTTCAGTCTTGTTCCCCAGGATGCCGTCCACACCAGTCGACTATACACAAATAACCCGCACATAAAAGAGAGAAGCTTACGACGACGTTTCGGTCCGACTTGGACCATTGACAAAGTCAGTGTGACTTTGTCAATGGTCCAAGTCGGACCGAAACGTCGTCGTAAGCTTCTCTCTTTTATGTGCGGGTTATTTGTGTATCGTTCCAGTCACGGTATTGTGCCTTTTTTTGTTACCAGTCGACTACTTACATGCTAGGTGAACGGGGACAGCAAGGTGTAAGGAAACATGCCCAATGTTTCCACTCGGCCGGGGATTGAACCACCGACACTCAGTGTAAGGCGATAACATTACCTACCAGGCCACGGGACACTATTCCTAAACACCAGACTTCAATAACAAGTTATACTTTTAACCTAACAACAACCGACAAATATTTTTTCCCTTTCCTTACATAGTATTTTTTTTTTACGACAAAATACATTACAGTATATGTATTATATACTGAATTTCAGTGTACTAAGTAGGTGGTGTGCCAAAGTGCTGGTACCAGTATGGGTTGTATTGTCTAATTTTGATGGTATCGGTATCGGAATAAAATTAGGTATCGGGAGTGGTATCGGCAAAAAATTATCTTCCCATCCCAAGTGCTAGAGCGCAACAAGTACAACTTTCACATGTCTCTCATATAGCCGAAAATAATTGCCATAAAAATAACTATAATAAAAAAGATAATGTTTAGTTTTGTTGTGTTTAGCTCAACACAATTTGATTTTCACATATTTAAACTAACAACTACAGTACTAAGTGTTGACGTATTGGAGGCGACAAGAATAAACTAATAGGCACACAGTATTAATAATTGACAACATTCACTTCCCAATCACTAAAAACGAAAAATAAAACACAACTTTTGAGTATCTTAATATAACATCTGAAAGTAAACACCAAACATGCATCTTAGTTTAGGATTCTGCTCACAGCCTTCTGAAGACCTCATTCTGGCTGCCCTAGCTGTGGGAAGTCCCACCTTTAATGACGATTATTTCTATGATTTCTAACTATGATGTCATCCAAAATGTACTGGAGGGTGGTGGAGACCAGGCAGGAGGCAGGATGGTGTCCTCCAGGATGGTCAGGGCAGGACGTGAGTAGGTTAGGGACGGATACTCACGGAAGTGGACTGGGTGTGAAGCTAAGGAAACTACCACATACCTGCAAACAGAAAAGATGCTAGATTAGACCAAGCAATTAACAGTGTACGTGTAACAAAATAATTTAAAAAACTTCATATTATATAAGAGGAAAGTATGGGAACAAACAAAATTTGCGAGGTGATGAGCACGTGCCCACGAACCATCACCAGTTACAGCACAGCTTGTGACTGTACCTGAACACTTGGAAGTTTCTGTCAGCATGAAACAGTCAACTTCCCGAGTTACCTGACAAACTCCTCCACTACTGCCAACAAAGATAAAAAAAAATAGTAAACAAAACAAAAACCAGGCTATAAGACTAAAAATTAAGTACTCCAACGTAAGGTCCTGATACCATTACTCTTTCGTATCCTCACTGCAGACATAAAAACGCTAGACAGCTAAGTATCATCCAGTCGGAAGATTCCAAAATGAATCGTAGAGTCGCTTCAGTAGAAGACAGAGAACAATTACAAATATTAAGTATCAACAAAGTCTTCCAAATGACAAATGACAATAACATGATATTCTATGGTGACAACGACCATAAGATACAGAAAGGGAACCCGTGTCACAACAAAAGGAAACGGTAAATTACGGTCTAGGAATAATAGCGTCAGATGCCCTATGATACATGATACATAGTTGTACAAAGAAATATAGTAATTTGGGTGTACATGCCAAAAGCCCCTTGTATGCAGAGCATTATGGGCAGGCTTAAAATTAACGTAAGATTAACTAAGCAATGATATATTCAGTGGTAAAAATTATAGTAAACAAATTACAATATGAAGTACAAATGAGTACTTCAAATAAGAAGCATTATAGTAACAAATTTGTAGGATAACAATGTATAATATAATCCGATCAAATCGAATAAAATCAATGATTTGTAGTGCAGAAACAGGTCATATGGTCATTAGATGAGTTACTGTACATTCAAGAGAATGGAGTATTATATTAGGTAATGTAATTAAAAAAACAGTTTGATAGGGTCACAGGTTATACATTTATGAGATACAGTTATTCAGTATTTATTTTCAGAACACGATAAGGTAAATGCAGCAATAGTCAGGAAAATGACAGAAAATCAAAACTAGTTATTGACACTTTTTTAAATTAATTATGCTCTCATGTTGGAACACTTATTCTATGATTAAAATGCTTCTAGGAGAGAGTTGAAAAGTATGCTGAGGTCGTTCACTAACTGCATAGAATCAATAAACCATTGAACGAACACTGAACGTCATGTCTGGAACGAAGAGAGATACCTTATAAATTATAATATATATTATTAAGAATATGTTAAAGGGTCTGGTCTCCAATCTGCACAACCTACTTAAATTAGAATTATGGAAGTGTATATTAAACCACGTGAAAAGCAGGGATGCCATAAGCATAGAGAGAGTACTACTAACATCCATGGTCCCCGACGCTTCAACTTGCTTCCAACAGATTTCAGAAAGAATGAAGGAATACAGGTATTAGTTTTAAAGAGGAAACTGGACTACTGTCTCCTGCTTTTGCAGGCGCCTGATCAACTGGGTTGTGTGTACCTACAGGCTGTTAGCATCAACTGCTTGGTTTATTAGTCGGTTAACAGGGAGGCCTGGTCTCAGGCCTCGATGAGAGGGTAAAAAGGACCCTTGAAACCGATCACAGGTGTGTCCATGGATCCACCTCTTTTCCCCAATCAGCAAATGGGTGATCGAACTTGTCTGGTGTCTGACCGGACCTCATTTGGAAAGGAATAATTCAGAAGCACGCGGGTATTACACATGAGTGTACGCTGAATGTCAATAGAAGTTTGTAGGATTTATCTTACTTGCTATGAGACTAAAAGAAAAGACTAAACAATTATACCACCATCAATAGTCGACTAACACCTAGGTATAGGGAACCTTGTCCATACTTCACAGATTAAACTCTAGATTTACTGCAGTGGTCTTCTCAAATACTTGCTGGTCGGCTTACAACCATCGACAGACATTGAGACGCAGGCTTAACATGAATAAATAAAAGGAATACTAGACTTCGGTCTGCTGGTATTTGGTGACCTTTCCACTGCTGAGATGTGACACAGCTCTGCTCATGGCCGGGAAAGGGAAGGAAGGAGGGAGGCCAGAGAGGAAAGACAGGAAGTGGAAGAGGGAGGAAATGAAAGGAGGGGATTAGGATTAGAAGGTTTTATTATTTATGCCTCACACCTAATCATTGGCCTTGTATAATAAATTACGTAAAATTTAACCAAGGATAATCCAAGTCAATGTGACTTATTTTCATTGCGGTCCTTGTCATTGGAGTCACTGGGATTCTGAGAGGCAACAAGGTGAGTAGATTGCAAAATATTGTTACTGCTATACTAAGGCTAGGCTATAAGTATCTCTGGCAGTACGGTTTGTATGGAGATGACAATGACATGATATGCAGTGTGTGGAGACAGGGTCATACACTGCAGTATTATACCTTAGTGTCCAAACATCCAACATTACAAAAACACGTTCATGCAAACCATACAGGATATGGCAAAACACCTCATCGTCAATAATAATATATATGAAATCTAGAGGTTGTATTCACATTTTGCGTCGCTAGATAAACTCTTTAGAGAGATTGCAATCCAGCTATGACCAATATTTTTTTGATTATCGAATAAGAAATCATTTATTTGTATTCCTTACTGTACAACTATATGAAATAAATATGAAATACGAAATGACTAATATATCTTTCTCTTAACGTAACAATGCTAAATAACAAAAAGGCACAATACCGTGACTGGAACGATACACAAATAACCCGCACATAAAAGACAGAAGCTTACGACGACGTTTCGGTCCGACTTGGACCAGTGACTTTGTCAATGGTCCAAGTCGGACCGAAACGTCGTCGTAAGCTTCTGTCTTTTATGTGCGGGTTATTTGTGTAACAATGCTAAGTAGGGTAAGACAAAGACACATTGCGATCTCTGTAACACTTTTTCTTTGCGCTACCGCTCATAGGATGAGCATGGGGTTCACGAACTACCTGCTCAGGCAGCGCAACTGTGTTGCAGCAGTCCATCTAGTCAGTACCTGATTAGCCGGGCTGTGGTTCGTACGTTGACTATTTGTGGCCAGCAGTAACAGCCTGGCTGACGAGGTCTTGATCTGCCGGGAGGCCTAGTCAAGAACAGGGCCTCGGGGGCGTTGACCCCGAAACACCTTCCAGGTAGACAGCACGTGTATGCATTACCAGCTTCACACATCAGAAAGCCCCAATTAAACTGGACTTTGACAATGCTTTCACTTTAGCCAGAAGAGAGACTGTACTACAAGATGTTCACCAAATCCCTTCCCCTTCACCCATTAATCAAATCAGTTGACTTCAACGTCTCAAAACTTCTCTACAGTGGACACGAAATTGACTCGTGAAAAGGAGCCAGGTAGGATGACCCCTTCCCCCCCTTCCTCTTGCTGCTCTATTCTAACTAGTCATTAAGTCACAAATTGTCTAGAGAGTTGAACAACTAGCTCGTGCACGATGGGAACCAAGCTGGAACCACAGAATATTTGCTACTGAATATTTGCTTTACTGCAAGGTTGAAACTGACCAGGATGAGTAAATTTCTGTTTCTCTCAATCACTGTAAAATTCTTACCTCATAATATATGTCATAAGAAATCATTTTTGTGCTGT